GCGTATATTATGTACGAGTACAAATGTGTACTATTATACGAGCACATATTTTAAACGCATACTAATAGTATATACGTTTGGATGTATATAATATGTATGTTTAGTATGTAAGCATACTTACGTATTATATGTTTGAAGCAAATACACAGCCGACGACTATTATTGTATAAAAGAACAATAAAAATTATAATCATAAGAATAAAAAGAAAAAAAAAATTTAAAAAAGAAAATAAAAAGTCACCAGTCAAGAGCAGCAAACTGTGCTTGGAAATTTTCTCTCTTATATTATTTTTATTTATATTTTTTTGTTTTTATTCTGTTGTCGCTGTAATAAAAATAGTCGCCGCCATCATTTTTATTTTCTATGTCGACTAATTGAGCTGCTGTTTCTTTTGTTACTTGCTAACTATAAATGATAATAAATTGTTATATTATTATTGTATTAATGACAATACTGAACTGAAGATGATGAAAATCATGTATACATATTTATATAAGTACATATACCTACACATGCATATGTATAAATTTTACCATTCAAGAAATTTTCACCATATAGTTGGGTGGATTTCTTTTACTTATATACAATTAAATACTTGAGTATAATTAAAAATTAAATCAAACTTCTCCTCTTTTATGAAAGGATAATTAAAATTAAAAAATTAATAGAGGTTGTTTTGTAGAATTTGAATATAACAGTTTTTTTTTCTATTTGTCATACAACATTAAAACAAATTTCATCATTGTTTTTTTTAATTTCGTTGGAAATTTTCACATTTTTCTTTATTACTTTGTTCTACAAATAAAAATGTATAATAGTGTTTCAACTTTTAATATCATATAAATATCTAAATATTTCAAAATTTCAAAGCTGTTGTAACATATGTATAACAGTTAATTAACTAGAAAATTACTGTTAATGAGAATTGTACGAATTACTTATACATATGTATGTATATACATTTGTATGGAAAAACCCTTTTGATTGTATTTATTAACTTCAATATGATCTGGCCAGTATAACAGAATGCATAATATTTTTATGTTTTTTTTTGTTTCTCTACTCCACTTGGGACAGTTAGGATCCTTTCATTGAGTTAACTAGGCTGTGACCGAGCCGATTTTTTTTTGTTATAAAATATATTTTTTTTCTTATACTGAAGGTTATTGATATACTTATGTTGTTTATTTTTGTCGGTATGCAATATCAAATATTATGGATATATGGGCGATTGTTTTAATATTAAGATTTTATTTTAAAATATTGTATATAAAGCTATATAACGTTAAGCATAATTATTATGGTTATCTGACCGGGGTTCGAAAACGAAGCTATAACCACTGCATCGCATTAATCAAATAATACTTTCAGGTACTTAACAATTAAGTGATCCAGTTTTTATCAATTTTAATTTATATGAAACTTGAAAACAAAATGGAAACCAAAGAAACAACACGAGACAAGACTTTTTATTATACTTTTATATAGCGAACATTACTTCATAATAATTTGACGTGATCAATTGAACATTATTTACATTAAACTTATTGTTGAATAAAATAAATGAAGTTTTAGAAATTTGTTATACATTATTTACATAAATATGTGTAATACTTATTCTCTATTTGTATTTAATGTAACTTTGCATTTCCAAATGTTTCCAATTACAATTAAGTTTAAACAATGATTAATAAAAATTATTTTTATTACACATCCGGAAACAGTAACTTATCGATTTTTGATATTGATATTAAGTTTATTGTAAGCAAACTAGTACAGTAAATTCTTAATAGTTCGAATAATTCAATATAAATATAATATAATAGATAATGTAAGCTTCTGAAAAATAATTGTATTAATTGCAATAAAAAACTTTAAATTTTAGTTGGCAATGATTTTCGCAAACTACATTTTTTTTTACGCTTGAATCGCTCGTATATAAACAATCGATGGTTGGCATCATTACGATTACTGTATAATGCAATTTGAAGAGCAGTTTGTCGTTAATTTCTTCGTATACCCTGATAGTTTAGCAGATAGAATGTCTGCCTAAAAAGCGAAAGGTCACTGGTTAAAGTTCAATTCGAGGACAAAATTTTTTTTTTTTAAGTTTTTACCTAAATTCTTTCCTTTAGTTATGCTATATATTATGAAAGAATTTCAATTTATTGAACACTTACTGTATTTTATTCAATGTAATTTTATTTAATTTATTGTTACTACCTTAATGAATTTGTTACTATTTTTAAATTTCAAGTTGTTTACTTGAAAATAAAAAAAAAATAATAAAAAAACCAACCTCTTTTTTTCTATTTTAAAAAAATATACATTTTTTATTTTCGATGTTGAATTAAAATTAACTGATTTTTTTTTTTAATTTTCATTAGATAAGATATAAAGGCTCGTATTTAACAATTATCATAACTTATTTATCACTTATCTCACTATTACTATACTATTTTTATAATATTTTCTTGTTGATAAAATTTAAGTAGATTATATTTAATGGTTAAAATATATGTACATATATAATACTTACAAAAATTTATATATGTATAATATTTAAAATATAAAAAAATGTTTATGTCTGTACAAAAATTTTAAAATTATTATCTTAATTAAGTAATAATATAAAAGTTCTTTTTTTTTTACTTTACGCATTTCTCAACTTATTATAATTATAGTTCTAAGTAAATAAATGCTCTAGTATAATAACACGACAATATTCCAAAAAGTGCTATTGACTCAATAATGACCTTCTAAGGTTAGTAAAAGATAAAAAAAAAATACGATAACAAATGAATGACACTATTTTTTCTTTCGCATTCTAGCAAACACATTGAGAATCATCGTGGAACAGTCTATTGAGTGGAACTCACCATTGTACATTGCATTTGTAGATTTCGAAACAGCTTTCGATGCAGTAAAACGAGATACTATATGGAGTGCTTTAAGGAAAAAAGGAATTCCAGAGAAAATTATAAACATAATCAAAGCGATGTACGATCAGAATGAAACAAGAATACTACACAATGGCGCACTAAGCGAGCCAGTCATTATAAACAGTGGAGTTAAGCAAGGTTGCCCACTTTCACCGATACTCTTCAACTCTGTCCTAGATAACATAATGCAAGAAGTGGCAAGCACACCCAGAGGAATAAGATGGTCATTAACCGATCGTTTAGAAGATCTGGATTACGCTGACGACATTGCCCTGCTTTCCCATACTTACGAAGAGATGCAAGCGAAACTCGACCTCCTACACAGTAAAGCAAAAAGTGCTGGACTCCAAATAAATACACGAAAAACAAAGTCCTTAAGATTAAACTGCCGCAACACGAACACGTTCATGATAAACAACACAACTATAGAGGACGTCACTAAGTTCAATTACCTCGGTAGTATAATAACTACAACGGGGGGAACGGAGGATGATATCTTGAACAGGATCGGACTAGCTAGGGCAGCATTTGGCAGAATGTGGACTGCTTGGAGATCGTCCAATCTCAGTAGAAAAACCAAGCTGAGATTGTTTGGCGCTTGTATAAAACCAATACTCTTGTATGGAAGCGAGACCTGGCACGCAAACCAAGCCAGTATAAACAGCATTCAGGTATTCGTCAACAAATGCCTCAGAAAAATATGTAGAATCTTCTGGCCGAATAGAATCTCCAACCTAGAGCTGTGGGACCTCACAGGTGAAGAACCTATAGCCACACAAATCAAGAAACGTAAATGGCGCTGGTTGGGGCACACACTAAGAAGACCACCGGGTGCGATTCCACGTCAAGCGCTAGAGTGGAACCCCCAAGGGAAACGAAAAGTGGGTAGACCAAAAATGACATGGCGTAGAACCATAAACAAAGAAATCGCCGACAGCGGCAAGTCTTGGTCACAGATAAAAACATTGGCAAATAACAGAGTGCGATGGAGAGGCTATGTGGAAGCCCTATGCTCCTAAACTGGAGTGAACAAAGGAAAAAAAAAAAAAAAAAAAAAAAAATTTTTTCTTTCGAATGACTTAAGTATGTACTATTCATTTGAAATTGAAAATTGTATATATACGGTATGAGTAAATATAAATTAAACAAAAAATTAAAAATTAAACTGTATAAAATAATTATATACGTATAACAAATGAAAACAAAATGATGTAGATGCTTATGTAATCAAAAAGCAAGTGTTCATAATAAAAATGCATTTATTTGTGTATAAATAATGCATATTACTCAAATTGAAGTTGATTCCAAAAGTAAATCTTACAGAATTAAAAAATACTTATTAAGTATGCCAAATATTACTTCATTATTATTAGTACTAAGAATAGTGTGTTTAATTTAAAATTAGTTCCAATGATCTACGACAAGACAATTTTAATGGATATTTTGTAATTTGTGAATCATAAGTCGAATAATTCGATGTAATATTACCTTAAAAAATTTAAAAACATGCAGTAATTACATATTTTGAGTTCGTCATAGTTTTAAGCTGAAATGAAATTGCTAAAATTGCATATTTCTAGAGTTTTTTTTTTTTTTTGTTTATGACAATCATTATTGTTACATATTTTAAAAATTGTAGACTACGTTACTTCTTAAAACCGCTATAACAAACAGTACCCGCTTAAATACGCCATAAAGATTTTCGAACTCGAACACAGTATACAAAAATTGCATATTTTTAGGTGAACAATTTCCAAATTCAATTGTTTATTAGGTGTTATTTTTAAAAAATTGTATTTTACTTGTAGTTATTTAAATTTGAAACTCGTTTCTATTTTAAAACAAAAACTGTTATTTTAAAAAGGAAAATGTCAAATTAAATAGGTAATAGATGATAATTTATGTCTATGGTATTGACATCAATACCATAGACTAAAATTAATATCTAATAGATGTTAATTTTAGTACAAATTTTTTTTTAGACAAATATCTTCATTCATTAGTCCTAGCTGTTAAAAAATATATAAAATTTTAATAAAATTCATTTTTTATTCTAGATCATGCGCTAAATCAAAATACGAAAGACAGAGAAAAACGTACAAACGATTCTATAACAGATCAAAAGCGTGATCTTCGGATTCAGTTTTCAGGATCGTTAACAACAGAAAATGAAGGTACATATATAAAAATATAAGAGCGTATAATATAAAATTTAAGTTTCAATATAAAAATGAAGAACATTGTTATTGTTAGTGCAATAGGCAAAATCCTATTGATATGTCAAAGGCAATTGTCTGTAGGCTGTACCTAAGGTAATCATGACGATTACTGTATAAAGCAATAAGAGAAAGAATTTTGCGATAATTTCTTCATATCGCTGCAGCTCTTTTGTAAAGCTTCTGTCTAGAAAACAATAGTTAACTAGTTCGGAGTTAATTTAACGGTCTTGATTCATTCCTTTGGCTAAGTTATCCATCTGTTCTGCAGTTTTATGTCCGAATTTCTGAATTTTGAATATTTCTTTTCACAAAAATAAGGTTTATTTAAAAAATTTGATCTGACATTATTAAAATATTAACTACACTAAATCCGAAATACAAAAAAAAAATTTCAAAATTCGCTTATTAATGCAACTGAGATTGTTGAAGGTGCAAATTAAACTTAAGAACATTTTTTGAGTATTAAGTTTTATTTAGTCGAATATGTCACTTCCGCTTTTATAGCAAAAGTTATGTGTTTTACAACTCTATTCAATTGATTTCTAATTGACAACCTCAATTTATTCTAATCGCTTGTGAATACATTGTTAATCGAGTATGGAGTGTACAATCGTTAACTCATGCTATTTAAAACAAAATATTAATTGATCAACTTTTATTATAAATAAAGTTTTTTTATTGTAATATTTAAAAGGTGAATGCAAATATAATTTTTTACATTTTGCATATTTAATTAATTTATATTTTTAGCGCCACTAAAATTTTAGTCGCCACTTTTATTTTAATTCGGAATTGCTTTTTTATTAGTTTGGAATTTTACATAAATAATATTGAAATTATAATTTATTGTTGTTGCTAGTAATTTTTTTTTTCCATTTTCTATTTTTATCATATTTTCTCTGTTCAACAGGTCATTTCGCAAAATTTTTTATACATACCTATAAAGTATTAATAACGTGAGCGGAAGGTGTCCAAAAATGATTTTTTTTTACTTTTTAATTATATGTGTATTTTTTTTTTAATTTTAAGTTTAGTATAATTAAATGTAGGAATAAGTGTAGTGTATTACGATAAATTATAAAAAATCTACATCATAATTTAAAAAAAAATGTTGTAGCTACATAAAGAAAAGAAATCGGAGGTATATAGAAATTTTTTAACTTACTCAAATAAAAGAAAATTCTTAACATATCGACATAACCCAAAAGTTAATCAACCCCTCTCATCCTCAGAGTAAACTTAGATATATTTTTTCGTGAAAATCATTCTACCCGAACTTGCGATACTAATCTGCACAGACAATCAGGCGGACAAAGTGGTAAACTTTTTGCTTATATACGCTTCCCTAGCATGGAGGATCGCATTTCTGCGGAAAACATTACATGTGAAGTTTGATGTCATCACATGACCTCCCTTATTGTATGCAATGTGGTCGACAAAAAATTATATTTAATTTAGAAGATATTAAAATTAAAATAACCCCCCCTCTCGAAATTAAACGAATTTCGTTTTTATTGTAGTGACAATGTTTATTCATTCGAAATATTCTTTCATGACGAATTGAAACATTTGTCATTTTACTCAAAATAATATTTTTGCGGGGCTTGATACTCGTATGTACACATATTGTAAAACGGAACAAAAATATAAACGCATTATAAAAAAAAAATTTAATTAAAATATAAATAAGATCGATTTGATATATATGTAAGTAAGTAAGGAAATTAAATAAAATATAAAAATATCAAAAGGCTGCCAAGTTAATGTTAATTTTTTTCGATATAATCTTAATTATTCTTTGAAACATTGTAATAAAATAAATTATTCGAAAAAAATGCATAGTATGTATAAATGTACAATGTATTGACATATGTATGTTTGTATGTATATCTGAACTTTTGAAAATATTTCATCACTCAAATTAAATTTCACCTACTTGCAATTAGATGTTAATTACCCAATGAGATGAATTATTTTAATTTTAAATTTTCATCGAACAATACTTTTATAAAAATTGAAACATTTTATTCATAGAAAAATAAACGGAATATATATACATATGTATGTACATATGTACATATTTTAAATAATTGAAAATTTCACATTTTTATTTATGGCGATTGACAAATACGTCACATGCCACAGTATAAAATTTTTACATAAAGAATTGAACAGTTGTTTGTTTGTTCGTTTGTTTATTCACCATGACATTAAAAATATTTTTTTGATTTCAATTGAAATTACGGTATTTTAAGATTGCTAGGGATATTTTTATAGACTGTTTGATATTTTAAATTAAAATTCAGTATTCAAACATGTTGTAGTTTATGTAGCTTGTACATATTTTTTCTCTTGTTCCTAAACACGTACGTACGTTTGTATGTAGCTAGTACCAAAAATATGATGAAACCTGTTAAGCTTTGGACAGCTGTAGTGCAATGGAATTTTTCCAAATTTTTAGAGTTTTTCTTTGATTTTTTGTATTTCATTATTTTTTATTTAATTTTAGATCTTCAAAGTTTCTTGTAGATGCATAGAAATATTTCACTGCCTTAAGAAGTTTGTAGGACTTAACATTAAAATTGTTTATTGGCTCGTATTTCTTTTGTTTGTTAATCTCTAAAACATTTAAGGTGCGTTTTTTACCAGTGTTCGGACGTTCGCATAATATTTTTAACCAATCAAAATTTTTCATATTACATACTAACATATACTTATGCAGAAATGAAATGGCTTGGCAGTTAGTTCGTTCGCCGGACTAAAAGAAAATTTAATTTTTGACTGAAGGCTGAAGCCAAAATAATTCTATTTTAGGTCATATGATATTTATTTATGAATTGATTTTAATGTCGATATAATAATATCAGTCCTTCGGTATACATAAGAGAAAATCGAAATTTTTTCTTGTATATAGTTCGAACTTTCGGACAGTGAGAGGAAACACACCCTTTATATTTAAAATTTTTTATATTTTAATCACATTACAATTTTGACACAAAAGGAAAAACTAAGTTAATTTCATTTTTGCCCGAAAACTATTAAATCGACGCCAATATAATTTTTATTACACTTGTACAAAATCTAAACAAAAACAACAATATTGTAGATTTTTTATTGTAAGAGTAGCATTAAAATTAAACAATAACATTTGTTTTTTTTTTAATAACAGGTGAACATTATTACAAAATGTTAATAGTATATAGGTACATACATATATAAATGTATACACACAGTAAATATCTATGTACATATTATATGTATGCATGTAAATAAAAACTGTCATAAAATAGTAGACAAAATACCTACCGTATTGCTGTTAAAGCTTAAAAATTATTTGTAACTGGGTTTGTTACCAAAAAAAAACAAAATTGAAAAAGAAGAACAAAAGAGAATAAAGAATAAAAACTGTCGCGACAACCACAAAATTTTTCACAATAATCATTTTCTTGAATGTTTGATGATAATTTTGTAATTCCCCAAAAAAAAAAATAATAACAATAAAAATTAATCTATAGAGTTGCTTACGTCTATAACGTACGAACATACAGTATGGATGCATGCATGACATGTATGTTAGCTATAAATAGATTAATCCGCCAAACACCCATCATCATCACCTGTAGGCAATGTCTTCTTCTTTCTTTTGTTGCTCTAAACATTTTGTGATTTTTGCTCTTGTTTATTTTTGTAACTTTTTCTTTATTTATTCATTTTTTTTTATTTTTTTAATGTCAATATTTTAGTAAATTGTAACTCCATCGCTTTTAACTATAGAAGTATGTGTAGATTACCTTAAATGAAAATTTTGGAATTCATGAAATAAGTATGTACATCGGATGATTGCAATAAAACTGTAGCAAGTTGAAAATTTATTAATTTTCAAAATACTCTGACATCCAACATGCAGTGTTAATGTAATAATACATTGTACATGTAGTCAATATCGTACAGATTTATAGTGTAAAAGCAAAATATGAGGTTAATCCACGAAAACATCAAATTAACATTTTCAGCTATATATGTAATTTTAATTGCTGAATAAAGTAGGCTGTTACTTAATTTACCTTTTTATAAACGCTTTATGTCGTATTACCAAATTATTAAAGCTTTTGTGCCAGTGGATTTTTAAGTGCCAGTGGATTTATGTAAATATTTATTATTCAGACCAAAACAGAGAGACTTTCGATTTTTTCGTCAAAAAAAAATTTATTTTTTTTTTAAGGTAGAAGAAAAAAGAATTCTTAACAAATTGTCATTTCTAACTGGAAAATAAAATTTTTTGAGTTATACCATTTTCAAAATATTAAAGCCACATGTACATAAATACATACATACATATGTACATACATTCTAAAATAATGTTAAAATTTCAAAAAGCAACAGATTTTGTAGGATAACATTCAAAAGATAGTCAGTTACAAATTGTAAACGTTAAAAGAACAGAAACTAAATGACCAGATACTAAATAGAAAAACACATGTATAAACATATATATTTAATAATACATACGTACATATGTATGTACATGTTAGTAAAGAAATGCTAACATAATGTGTTTGCCTAAAATTATACAAAAAAAAACAAAAAGAAAAGAAAAAAATGCATTTAAGTATTAAAGAAAAACTCAAATATAATTTTTTTTTTTTTCATATTTCTTTTTTCTTTTATGTCTGACTGACTAGCTCTCTTCTGAGTAAACAAAAGAAAAACCCGAAATTTTTGTGAAAAACACACGAAAACACAAAAACTAAAATAACAAATTCAAAATGTTAAAAAAACAAAAAAAAAACAATAAAAACAACAACAAGAACAAAAAATAAATAAAATAAAAATTACTTAAAACGAGAGCCTCATAGATTGTGTGCTATGTTTGTATGTGTGTGTATGTATGTAAATATAATGGCTTAAGCATTTTTTGAAGGCCGTCCAATAAAGCTAATCGAGGTGACGTTTGG